AGCTTGATGAGTGGAAATTGTGAGAGAGTGATGTTGAGTACTCTGAGAGTGTGAGTACATGATTCATCTCTGAGATACATCATGCACACATGGCATACATGCATAGAGATGTATTTTTTCTCATGCTATACGGTATCACGTTATTCATGACTCTTTACACACATTGATATGTGGTCATAAAGAGGTATTTACACTTGCTATCATGCCATCTAAAAATGAAACATCTTATTTATTGTGAAAAGGATTTTTAGAAAAATTACAATTTTCAAACTATCTCATATTTTACGACGATTTCAGTAAAGGATTTAAGTTTTCACTGATATTCTTGAAAAGAGGAACTATTTTCCATTATGAAAAGCTGGGCATTTTATATCTGAGTTACTTCCTTATCTATATATGCTCTACGCTGTTATGAACTGTTATTGGTTATTGGTGTTGGACTCGACCTATGTTCCAGCTCATCATTGCTTTCAACCTAAGTTTAGATTTGTTACTTATTGAGTACATGGGGTTGATTGTACTCATACTACACTTCCTGCACATTGCCTGCAGATTTCGGATGTCGATTTTGCTGTGTTCGACGGAAGATGGATTGGAAGATGTACCTGCATCTCGGTTGTAGCTGCCTCTTATTCATGGTAGCCTTAGATTATAAAACTCTGTTTATGTACTTTTCAAACAGAAGATGTATTTATTTCCTATCAGCTTTGTAATCTCTACTCTTTGAAGCTCATGATTTGTACTACCAGTCCTTGGGAAATGTATAAGTTTCAGATAATTTCTTCCATTTAATTGTTTTATTAAATTAATTGGAAATGGATAGTTGTTAAATTGGCTTACCTAGCAAGTTCGGTTAGGTGACATCACGACTAGTGAATTTTGGGTCGTGACATAAAGGGAGCAGAAACTCGCTACCCACATTTAGAAAAACTGGCCATAACTCTCGTAGTTGCCGTTCGGAAGCTGAGGCCCTACTGTTTCACCAAAATATATATTTTGATCAAAATCTAATTTTAGAATAAAACGGGTTACTGATAACCAAGTTTTACTTCACTTTCTCAACAATATCAAAGGAAAATAATAAGAATAACTAAGGAAATAATTGATTGCAAAATCAAGGTAGAGAATTTTGAGAAAGTAGAAAAGTAAAGAGTATATTTCAATATTGTCCCAAATCTGTCTTTACAAATAGAATTATGTGACCCGACCCTATATAAGAATATACAAGAGTAACAGTTTTTTCACATAATTTGGGTTAATTATGAGCATTAATGATATTGATTGCCCATAATCTTGGAAATCTATAACTAGTGTATTTATTGCTATAAATGCCTCATATTCGTTCTGATTCCTCTTCCTTATTTCCTTCTTTTTATTATTTATTCATTTCATCCTCATTCATTTCTTTCCAACAGTTAGACCGGTACCATCTGGTGGGTACTTCTTCCCGTGCCTTTTTTTCCCTAACAATTAAGAAAGCCACATGTCGTTGTATCATTATCCCACGTGTCATGCCATGTCAGCATTCCAATATTCCACGTGTATCCCTTTTTCACCACCAATACAGATAGTCCCCCCACTTTCTTGAATATTCTCTACTGAATATTCGGGGAAGTGGAAAGTTTTTATGGCGGGAATTACCTGCCACCGCTTTTCAAATGTAATCATACCTCCTTCTGAACTGATGCGACGCATATCACTTCCATTTAATGATCATGTCACGTGACTTTTTCTAATTGTTTCTTCAGTTCTTTAGTGCCTTTTAGGGCTTTTCTGCAGTCGCATCAGTCACGAAGTGACAGTTCCATTATGATGCTTCATAATGACCTTAATAGTCGTGTCTTCTTATAAATACTTCTCTCTTCTTTGATTTTTTGAAGTCTTTCCTCCTTCGTCTTCTTGTTTTACTCCTTTTTGCATCTTTCCCTTGTTCTTTTTTAGATAATCATGTTTTCCCCTGATCCTCGCAAAGTTATAATTGTCGATGAGTTTGTTTCTTCCAATGCACCTACTAGAAATAGAAGAGGTAGTAGGCTGCGTAGTCTCGGTTCTATTTCTAGTTGTGGTTACCCTTCTCAAAGTAATCCTGTCAATCCTTCTTCTTCTAGATTTAGGGCTTCTATAACCCCAAGATCTTCTTCTAGAGATAAAGATTCAACTGAAGCTTTATGTGAACCCACTATTGATGAAATGTTTCCTCAAGAACTATCATTTGTGACTGATAGTCAATCTATGAAGAGTCAAGTTTGTTCCATGGCTTCCCTTGATCATGTTGACCGTTACCCAACTTTGATTACTACTGGTTTTCTCGCTCTCATTCAAAAGGAATGTTATTGGAAACCTGACTTCCCAATTTTAGTTTCTGGTGCCAACCAGAGAATAACTTCATATCAAACTGGTTATTCCTTCGTATACAAATATCATTTTACCCTAGGCTTTAAAACTCATATTAATCCAGTGATCATCAAGTTATGTCGTTACTTCAATCTGTGCTTAGGACAGATTGGTCCTATTGTTTGGAGAGCTATTGCATGCCTCCGTTATTTGTCAAACTTGGATCCTATGCCTTTTACTTTCCATCATCTACTTCATCTTTACTACCCTAAACTATTTCATGAAGGAGTTTTTTCCCTTGTGGCCAAAAGTAAGAGAGTATTAGTTAGCCCTGAAGATGATAGAGATCGTGACTGGTATGCCCGCTTCATTGTTGTTCCCACTAGTTCTTTGGTGGGTGAAGAAAATATGTCTTTTCCAAAAAAATTGAATTTTGCACGTAAGTATTTCCACCTTATCTTTTTCCTTTCTAAAAAATGATACTCATGTTTACTCGTGCCTACTTTTTCAGGAACCATGAAAGTTTTTGAGGAGATTCCTAACTTCAATGCTTGGGTAGAGAAGTTTCTACCTGTTTCCCCTATGGAGAGAAGATCTTGGAAATATCTCTCACAGAGATTCGGTTGGAAAGTTAAGACACACGGTACTTTTTCCCCCTTAGTCTTTTTCAATTTTTGGTGATTTAAGAGTTTCTTATCATGCCTCTTTTCCTCTGTTAGGATTTCCTATTCGCGGTGTCAGTCCTGCTTCCGTTTCATCCACAAGACTTACAGTGAGTCTTGCTCAAGAAAGAATTTTGAGCTCTTCTTCAAAAAGGAAGGTTGATGGAGCCCGTGGCTTTGAGGGTGAAGAAGAACCAGAGGAGGGTTCTTTAGTTCGTAGACCCCGATTCAGGAGGCGTGTTATTTTCGAAGATGAAGCTTCCCCTACATCATGCTCAGTTCCTTCTGGACATTTGGATGAGGCAAAAAGTGCTCCGTTAGTGATTTCTGATGAAGAAGTGAATGATCCCCCCGCTTTTGCTGAACAATTATTTGATCATGGCTTCAGAAGTGAGTAAGCCTTCGAGCCTGTTTTGAGGAGTTGCCCCTTACCTCTTTTCCAATGTTAGTCCTCGATTATCCTCGAGTTACCTTAACTGAAGTTACTGCTGATGCTCCCCCCGTGACTGCTTTCACGTCATCTGCCATTTCAACTACTACCACTTCTCACATAGAAGTTGATCCCTCCAGTAGCAAGAAGGCGACGAAGAAAATTATTGTTGAGGTTCCTGAAGGCGGGAACTTGTTGAAGAAGTTAGGTCAAGCCGACGTATGGTTGAAGCCTTTACTAGGCCCTATGAAGAAGGCAAAGTTATAGAGTCACAATTCGTTGACTTGGATGAATGATATTGCGCATTCATATCTGAAAGTTCGAGTTTGATTTTACTCATTCTTTATTCTCTTTTCATGTTATGAATAACTCTTTCTTTTATTTTTTTAGATCAATTTGATAGCTACTAAGCTAATGAAAAGGATTGTCCATGCTGACCAACAAATTATTGACCACCGCATCGAGGTTGATAATTGGAAAGAGCAATTTGAAGGTCTTCAACTAGAGAAGGAAGTGCCAGTAGAGGAGAATGATGCCTTAGAGCAAACAATGCATGTGATCGATGCTGAATTAGCAATTGAAAATGCTTCTTCAAGCCAAGTTGGTAAAGATAAAGATACCCTTGAGTACTCATTTGCTGAGCAGATTTCAAAGGAAACCGAAGAGATAAGGAGTTTGAGGGAGCTCCTTAACCAGAAAGAGGCTTATGCTTGAGAGTTGGTTCAAACACTCACCCAAACTCAAGAAGATCTCCGTGGCTCTACAAATAAGGTTAAGTTTCTGGAAAGTTCCCTTACTCCTTTGAAGGAAGCTTTTGACACTTCTAAAATAGAGAATGAGGAGTTGATAAGCGAGATTGATCAGTGGGAGAAAGACTATGATGCTCTCGAGGATAAGCTGTCACTTGAAGTGAGTAGAGCTTTTTTGAATACTCGCATCGAGACTCTAATGGAAGCCAACCAGGAGGGTTTTGACCTTAACACTGAGATTGCTAAAGCTAAAGAGGCAATTGAAAAAACTCAGCAGGGTCTAAACTTTCCTTCACCTGAAGATGCAATTCCCGAGGATGATGGACTTGCTCTTGGTGAAGCTAATATTTGAGCCTCTTCTTCTCAAGATGACCCCTCTACTTCCCTAAATGAAGCTCTTGTTGCTGATGTTTCAGTGGATGATGCCTTCTAGTGTTTTCTGTTACTTGATGATTTTGTTTAGAACTTTTTGGTGGGAAATTTTTCTTTTCTGTTTGGAATAGTTGTTAGTTTACCTCTATCTTGTTCTGGGGGTTTGATGACAAACAAATGCCTTGTTTTTTGCAAAGTTTAATATATATAAATCTTGGCTTTCCTTTTTGCCTAATTTGATGTTTGAGTTTTTGTTCTACTCTTTGACATTCAATTTTGCATTAAAAATGCTTTAATAGTCCATGATTCTAATAGATACAAAATTTAAATAAAAGAGGGCCCTTTTATAAGCAACCCTGATGAAGATGACGTCTCATCTTCATGTTGGTGTAAATATATGAAAGGAGTAGAAAAAAGAAATAATTTGAGGAAGTTTTATGCTTTGAACTTTCAAATTGTGTACATCATTCTTTATTTATGTAATACAACATTTACAACTCTTTCACAACTGCTTCATTTGTAACAGGTTTCAAAATTTCGGGTCTATTATCCCGTGACTAATTATTTAACCTAAAAACTCATAAGAACTTGGAGTATATCTTGTATCCATCTTGTGTCCTTTTTCGAGTTTCTTCAAAGATTTTTGTATACTTGGTTTTTGCTCTTAGGCTGATTCAGGCTTGAATTCTGACTTTTTGTCTTCTTTGCCTCTTCATATATATATATATATAGTCCTCCCAGTGTTAGAGCTTTGAAGTATGAAATCTCGATCACTAGATTGTTTCTTCCTTTGGTCCATCCCTGAAAAAGGAAAATACACACGGGACTCGAAAGTATACATTTTAGATGATGACTGCTTAAGTAGACATTTGAAATTAGACTAAAAATGAAGACCATAACATATTAAGGTAACTCAATTAAGACATGAAAGAAATTCTCATAGCTAAAAATCGGTAATTTTCACCTTTAGCCCGTGTACACACTCGTCACCTTGCATACACGGCTCTTACACATCACAATTATCACAGGTAACACCAATCCTAAGGGAAAGTTCCCCCACACAAAGTTAGGCAATTCATTTACCTCAAACCACACTAAATCAATCCACTAGAAGGCCTTTCCCTCGATTTTCCAACTCTGAATGGCTCGAAACTAGAAAAAATAATTTCATACTATAAATATCACTATAGGAAACTAATTCAAATAATGAAATTACGATCTTTGCAAAGAATTGAAAAATCGACCTAAAAAGTTAACTCGGATCCACGTCTCAAAACCCGACAAAAATTATAAAATCCGAACACTCATTCGATATCGAGTCCAACCATACAAGAATTATCCAAATCTGACCTTATTTTGCCTTTCAAAACCCAAAAACTTAGTCTAAGAATTTCTACCACTTTTTCCCAAATTTTCCAACTCCAATCCTTAATTACATGATAATAACAATGATAGTTTAGTGTAATTTAACCAAAATCGAGTTAAGAATTCTTATCCCAACAATTACCCTGAAAATACCTCGAAATTTTTCCTCAAACCGATCTCTCTAAGTCCAAAATATAAAATATGGAATAACCCTTGATTTCAAACTTAAGTTATGTTGCCCAGTGAGTATTTCTTCGCGAACGCGGAAAATGCTTCGTGTTCGCGAAACACAAAAATGTTGTTGCCCAAAATAACATTTCGCGATCGCAATAAAACCTCATGCGAATGCGAAACACTGCCTCATCATGATACTCGACCGCGTAACACACCACATGACCGCGATGAAGAAAAGCGTGTGAACCTGCAGCCCCCTAATTCTTCTACGCGAACACGACTACCTTCATGCATTTGTGATTCACTGGAGACTAGCCTTCTGCGATCGCAGGCCCTTCATGAGATCATATAGAATAAATTCTCCCTAGTGCCAATTTAACCTTTGCGATCACGTTAACTCATCCGCAATCGCATATAAGGACACCAGAAACACTAGATTCATCAGCTTCTCAACGATCCGAAATGCGCTCAACATGGTCCGAATTACACCCGAGGCCCCAGGTACCTCAACCAAACATACCAATAATTCCTAAAACATCATATGAACACTTTCAAAGCGTCAAATCATATCAAGCAACACTAGAATCACGATTCGAGCATCAATTCAAGTCTAAGAAACTTATAAACTTCCAAATTCCAAACTAATCTGATTCATACCAAAACAACTCCAATTAACTCCAAATTTTGCACACAAGTCATAAATGACATTACATACCTATTCTAACTTTCGGATAAGTCAAACTATGGTGAACTCTAAGACGAGCCACCTCGACAAGTCATAATCCCATTTCACTCCTAAACTAACCCGAAACCAAAACGAGCCACCCCGACAAGTCACATAGCCACAATATAGCATAGTGGAAGCATAATTTAGGGGATCTATTACGCCCCGAGCCCGGGGGCGAAAATGGGCCCTAGTGCCTCATCTATCCTTGCTTACCACTTGCGACTAAGAAACTCTGAACATGTAATGTCATACTTTGGCTATGGGCCACATTACAAGATAATGTGCGATGCAAAATGTAAAACTAAATAGAGACTAACACTGAATAATATCAACATAAAGCTGGGCCAGCAAGGCCATCATAATTACTACAACTGATAGGCCAACAAAATATACGTATAGGGCCTACAAGCCCAACATACTGCACTAACCGACAGAATATGTCTGCAAGCCTCTATTGATAGATGTACTGTGATCAGAACAGGGCCCCGACCTACCCATAACCTATCTACATATATACACAAGATATACACCACACTGCTAGACCCAACAACTCCGAAAGAAGGGGAACTTACCGATAAAGTTGAACTCGAGCAACACTTACTCAGCAGGTCTACCCGTCTGTCTGTTTGAACCTGCACGCATGAAATGCAGTGCCCCCAGAAAGGGACATCAATACGAAATAATGTACCGAGTATGTAAGGAAATATACTAAAAGCTTGAAACAGAACTAATGATATAATATCTGAAAGCAACTGGGGATCAAAGATAATCTGAAGATATGCTCATCAGCTGATACTGACTCAACTCTCTCAATATAGCGAGTAAAATAGTTTTCCGGCCCTATAAGTCTCGATAAACAAATATATCTGCTCTGTCATAGTAGGCTCGCTCATAAGCGCTCGGCCATACTAGGCTGTGTATCTCGACCAACTGGGCTCGCTCATAGGCGCTCGGCCACATCAGGCTCGGTATATAACTTACCATTTGATCAGAGGTTGTCCAATAGAGGCCTGCCCATCGATTATAGCTCGATATTAATGAAAATACTTTTAATATATTGTATATATGTAAACTCTCTGCTCTTTTGATCGGAAGAAGGAAATACTCAACTAAATATGCAGTCCCGATAAGAAGAAAATGGTAACTTGCAAAACTAGGAAAATACATGTAATTTGTGAGACTAGCAAAATATATGCAAATTCCGGGATATGAATTTTTCTTTATGCCTCGTTATCAAACTTGTGTAACTATGATATTATGCTAAAATGAAGGAAAATCTTAGCCTTAACATACCTGTTCTTGAAATTATTTGAACAGAATGAAGCTTCTGCCTCCGTGAAATATGAATGAAATTCTGACCGAATCCTTTGAAATTGAATGAAATTGTGGTGGCTCTATCGAAATTTGTTTATCTATGGGGTTGAATTGTTTGGACAGAATTTCTTCAAATGAAGCTTGAGTTGTTGAAAATGAAATGTTTCTGCTTTTCAACATTCTTGGCTTTAAATGCCAAGGAAGATTGTGGTTCCTTTGAAGTCTTTACAAGACTTCCTATTAAATGCTATAGATAAGATTTATAAATCTTATCAAGTCTTAAGTATGACTTGGTTATCATATTTTAGCCATTTGGCAAAGTGACTACTTAGTCATTTTTAAGCTTTGTGGCTTCCTGCCACATTGGAGAGTTAGTTTAATAAAACAATTTATCCACTTATTAGTTACCTGGGTAATATCCTGTTATCCAGTAATTAATCAATTACCCGTATAATTTAAAAAATTACCACAAATTACTTAAAATTCTATTTATTTTTAAAATACATTATATATTATACTACCGTGGTCATATGGTATCTTGCATGGTACTAGTTTATAATTATCGGGTATTATTGTCTGACCCGTTTTTATTCCAAATTGACCACTTTCAACAAAACTCATTCTCTTTAGTCTGTATACTTCTTTATCCTTCATAACACTTATTTATTGCTTGTTATAAATAGTGCAAGTACGTTAATGTCAAGATGATCTCATCCCTGAGTCTACGTCGGTTAACTGAAAACGAAATTTTAACATACGAAAAACTTGAGATGTGACAAAAGTGGTATTAGAGCAGTTATATCCTAGGGAGTCTACAAGCTGTGTCTAGTAGGGTCTTATTTATAGATGTGTGGTGCACCACATTATATAAGCAGGGGACTATATGGCCTTTAGGAATTAGTTACCCTTCTTTCAAATCTAAATCGTGTTGTAGTAGCACTAAGTTATAGGAAATTTGAGTTAAACTTACGTGTTGACGTTTGAATGCACAGATGACGGTAACTAGGAAGACTATGGCTAGCCAGAGTAGACAAACAACAGTAGGTGAGGGGACTAGAAGGGTACCCCCAGCAGATGGGGCTCAATCGGAGTCATAGGGAGAGACCCCTACCCAGCGATTACCGGCTCTCCACTACCTGAGGAGATTCCTAGGGAGACCGCATGTCTAGTTCCCCCTCCGCTTCCATCAAATCAGGACTTGAGGAGTGTGGTGCATTTGTTGGCACAGTTGGTAGTTACCCAGCAACAGGCTAGGGAATCCGCTAGTGCATGACCTTCTGAGGGATCTGGGAGTTCAAAGGTCCGAGAGTTTATTGCTTTGAATCCCCTAGAGTTCACGGGGATAGATCAGAGGGAGGACCCGTAGAATTTCATAGATCAGCTTCATAGGATCTTTCAGGTTATGCATGCCACGGAGAAAGAGGCAGTTGAGTTAGTAGCCTTTCGACTCCGAGATATAGCCATCCTTTGGTATGAGGGATGGGAAAGGTCTAGGGGACGTGATGCACCTCCTGCTATTTGGGAGAATTTTTCAGATGCCTTCCTTGACCAGTACATACCGCAAGAGATCTGATAGGCCCGACTTGATAAGTTTCTAGCCCTCAAGCAGGGCAATATGAGTGGTCGAGAGTATAGTCTCCATTTTGACTCATTAGCCAGATATGCACCATCCATAGTTGCTACTATGCAGGACAGGATCCATAGGTTTATAGCAGGGTTGGCCCTAGAGTTGACTGATGTATGTGCCACCGCTGCATTACAAGATAGTATGGATATCTCATTCAGGCATTTGCCCAGAATATAGAGAGGGGTAGGCGTCGGCAGTAGAGTACGGAGAGGACTGAGTTAGGGCAGCGTAAGAGGATGAGATTTGCCAGGTCTTAGGGTAGTTATAGTCCCCAGTACTTCGAATGGCCACCTAGACCTTCGCCACCTCAGCTATAGGGTTACATGTATGACCGCTATCCTAAGTCAGGACCGGGTGAGAGCTCCCAAGCTTCAAGTTTGCAGCGACAACGAGGTTCCAGGTAGACAGGGCCGTTTCCGCTACGGTGTGCCATCTGCGGTCGAGGACACTTGGGCCAATACCAAGTCGGTTTCGATGCTTGTTATACATGTGGACGTCCAGGGCATATGATGCGAGATTTCCCAAATAGAGATTCTTGGGGTATGGCGCAACCAACAAATTCAATAACAGGATCAGCTATGTTCGTGCATCCTTCAGGGCACAAGTCTCAGTCTTCGGCTGGTAGAGGTCGAGGCAGAGGTAGAGGGTCCAGTTCAAATGGTAACCAGAATCATATATATGCGCTAGCAGTTTGACAGGACCAAGAGTCCTCACCAGACGTTGTGACAGGTATGTTGACCATTTGTTCTCACGATGTTTATGCCTTGATAGACCCAGGATCTACTTTTTCATGTGTTACCTCATTTGTCGTGCGGAAATTTGGTAGAGTGCCTGAAATACTAAGTGATCCTTTTGCGGTATCTACACCGGTTGGAGAATCAATTATCGCTAGATGCGTTTACCAAGGTTGTATGATATCAATTTGTGGTCATCAGACCTCAGCCGACCTAGTTGAACTAGAGATATTGGATTTCGATGCTATCATGGGCATGGACTGGTTGGTAGCTTGTTATGCCACAGTTTATTGTCGAGCAAAGATAGTCAGATTTCATTTTCCGGGTGAGCCAGTCCTTGAATGGGTAGGTAATACAGCGCCACCCAGAGGCAGGTTTATTTCCTATCTGAAGGCGAGGAAAATGATCGCAAGAGGGTGCATTTATCATATTGTGCGAGTTAAAGATGCAGATGCCGAGATACCTACACTTTAGTCTTCCAGTAGTAAAGGAGTACGTAGATGTATTTCCAGATGAACTTCCAGGTATTCCTCCATATCGAGAGATTGATTTTGGCATCGATTTGCTTCCGGAAACACAACCAATATCCATCCCTCCATATAGAATGGCACCTGTCAAATTGAAGGAGTTGAAGGAGCAGTTAAAAGATTTAATAGAGAAAGGTTTCATTAGACCCAGTACCTCACCGTAGGGTGCACCGGTACTATTTGTACGAAAGAAAGACGGCTCGCTGAGGATGTGTATCAATTATAGGCAACTGAACAAGGTAACGATTAAGAATAAATATCCACTTCCAAGGATAGACGACTTGTTTGATCAGTTGCAGGGAGCTAGATGCTTTTCGAAAATAGATTTGAGGTCAGGGTACCACCAGGCCAGAGTTCGGGAGAAAGATATTCCTAAGAAAGCCTTTAGGACCCGATTTGGCCACTTTGAGTTCCTTGTCATGTCCTTCGGGTTGACGAATGCTCCTGCCATATTTATAGACTTGATGAATAGCCTATTCCGGCTATATTTGGATCTATTCGTGATAGTCTTTATTGATGATATCCTGGTTTATTCACGTTCAGAGAATGAGCATATGGATCACCTGCGAGTGATACTCCAAACCCTCTGTGATAATAAATTGTATTCTAAGTTTTCTAAGTTTGAGTTCTGGCTAAAGTCCGTAGCATTCTTGGGGCATATTGTAGCCAACGGAGGTATAAAGGCAGACACTCAGAAGATTGAGGTTGTGAAATCCTGGCCTAGACCTACCATTCTGACAAAGATTCGTAGCTTTCTAGGCTTAGCAAGATATTACCGGAAGTTTGTACATGGTTTTTCTTCTCTTTCAGAACCATTAACAAAGCTGACACAGAAAGCGACTAAGTTTTAGTGGACAGAGTCCTATGAGCAGAGTTTCCAAGAGCTTAAGAACATGTTGACCTCAGTGCCAGTTCTAGCACTTCTAGAAGGTCCAGATGGTTATGCCATATATTGTGATGCCTCGGGTGTCGAGTTAGGATGTGTCTTGATGCAACATGGGAAAGTAATCGCATATGCTTCACGACAGTTGAAGAAGCATGAGCAGAATTATCCAACCCACGACCTCAAATTAGTTGCGGTGGTCCATGCACTTAAGATATGGTGGCATTATTTATATAGTGTTCATGTTGATGTGTTCACGGATCATAAAAGCCTGCAATATATCTTCAAGCCAAAAGTTGAATTTGCGACAGAGGCAATGGCTTGAGTTATTGAAAGATTACGATGTTAACATTCTCTACCATCTAGGGAAAACTAATGTTGTAGTAGATGCCTTAAGTCGCCGATCTATGGGTAGCTTAGCACATGTAGAGGCCGAAAAAAGACAATTAACTAGAGAGATTCATCAATTGGCTTGTTTGGGGGTTCGGTTAGTTGACTCTGATAATGGAGGAGTTGTACTCCAAAATACTGCAAAATCATCTCTCATAGCTGAAGTAAAGGAGAGGCAGTACGAGGACCCAGAGTTAGTCGAATTGAGAGAGCGGGTTCCCCAACAGAAGAAGTCATTGTTAGAACTCAAAGGAGATGGGGTTCTCAGATACAGAGGTTGTTTGTGTGTTCCTGATGTAGTAGGGCTACGAGACAATATTATGTCAGAGGCACATTATTCATTGTACTCCATTCACCCTGGGTCGACGAAGATGTATCATGACATTAAAGAGGTGTATTGGTGGAACGATATGAAGAGGGACATTGCTGAGTATGACGCTCAATGCCCTAGTTGCCAGTAGGTGAAGATAGAGCACCAGAAGCCAGAAGGCTAATGCAGACTATAGAGATCGCGACATGGAAATAGGAGGCGATAAACATGGACTTTATCACTGGTTTACCTCGTTCTTAACGTAAGTTCGATTCCATATGGGTGATAGCCGATAGGCTCACGAAATTAACTCATTTCCTACCGGTCAGATCTATATATATAGTAGAGGATTATGCAAAATTATATATTAAGGAGATAGTGCGACTACACGGAGTACCCATATCTATTATATCTGGCCGTGGGGCCCAGTTTATAGCAAATTTTTGGAGGTCATTTCAGAATGGTCTAGGGACTCAAGTGAATATCAGCACAGCTTTTCATCAACAAACTGATGGATAGGTTGAGCGCACGATTCAGACACTCGAGGATGTGTTATGAGCATGTGTGCTAGATTTTAAACGAAGTTGGGATGAACATCTACCTCTTATCGAGTTTGCATATAATAACAGTTATCACTCCAGTATCCAGATGGCTCCGTACGAGGCTTCGTATGGGCGCAGGTGCAGATCTCCTATAAGGTGGTTTGATG